TTATTCATTCAAAATATTAGAGAAATATAGAAGCTCAATGCGGAGAAGATCTTGATTTTGTGAAAACCGAAACCAAGCCATTCACACAGAACGCATATTCAGCGCATTCTTTAGACGCACAAATACGACTGCTGCACTCGCGTCTCACACAAGAGATGTAGCCATGCAAATTTCAAACGGTTTAAACTTTTAGAAAACACGTCACGAATTTGTGGAGGTTTATTCCTTTTCACTGCGTCTCTTATGTTTTTAAATGCAGTCTGTGTGATGGGTGATTCGGCTCTTCGTATTAAGCAATGCATAAATACATGATGCTGTTTTGTTCATAATTGTTTATGCAATTTACGAAATTATATTTGATTTATATGAGTTAATTTAGACGTAATGCACGTTTTTTTTATAGAAAGTTATTTCCTTGCGTTGACAGTTTAATGTGCTGCATTATTTTGCTCATTGCGCCCTCCGGTGGCCTCGGGAGACAAGACAAAAGTTTCCTTAAGACCCATTTAATCTGCACATAAAACATTAGAAATTATATATTTGTTAAATTTTTATTGCATTTGACTGTTAAAACAAAAAATTATTTGTTGTTTGTCTCAATAAATTGGGTTAATTTAAAAAAACAGTGGTTAAATAAAAAAAAAATTCTGTTGCTCCGTTTTAAAAAAGGTTATAAAAATGTCAATAATTATCTATACCGAACGATATGAAACATTATATTGTTGATACATTTTTTACCCTGCAATACAACTCTGATTCTTCAATGGCGCCATCTAGTGGTCTGTTATTGATATAACCATTTTCTAATTTTTACGGAACGATATTGATTCTTAAATCCCAAGAATCGATTAGTCAAGCCTGTTTTCAGTTAATGGACGAAACATTGAAGTGCATCTCACATCCAATATATCACAATAAGCATTGTGCTTTGGTACGTTTAATATGAAACAAAGTCTCAGATTTCAAATTCTGTCCGTTGTATTGCAGTATTTAAACAATAAATGCTGTTTTGGCACTGTTTAATGTGGAGTGACAGATCGCTGTAGCGCCTCGATCAACAGACGTGAACTGATAGTCTCCTCCGCTTTATTACTAGTTATAGCACAAAATAAACATGACTAAACATCCGAAGGTAAGTTAAAAGAAAGAGTACAACTTTACAATCCGTATCCTGTCTCGTGTAATCGCTCAATCAGTGTTTCAGCCCCACAAAGACCTCAATATAACGACTTGTAAACAATGTAACGTCACATTTACCTCAGAAAAACATATTCGGTGACCATAAACTCATTAGTCAGCCAGAAAAATAAACTGTAGAGAGGGGCATTTTGCTGAATATATGCACCATATAACATATTCATTATAATTTGTTACGGTTCTTGAATGTTTTATTTATGTTTTCATGACAGCCACTATTTAAATGTTTATATTGCAAAAAACTAACTGAAGTAATTGTAACTTAATTATTTAAAAAACTTAATTAGGTGTAATTTTAACAAATCAGTCAATTTTAACCTTCAATATTATAATAAATGTAGTACCAACTGACTCTCATGTATATTTTACAGCATTAGTTGAGAGATTTTTTTTTTCCTTGGGAAAATTTGGCATGTACTGATATAAGGATTTGCAATTTTTAGAGAGTTCAATTACATGTTCATGTTTTATTGTGCTTTGTGAGTTGTAATTGATATAATTGATAATGTAACTGATTGTGTAAAATAGACACATAATACCTAATATATCAAAGGCCACAGAATCAAATCACATCAAATTGTAATTGTACTGTGGTATGATTGTGGTATCAGCAAATATGCTAAGACACTCAGATCATACTGAGATGTGTGTGTGTGTTCATTGGAGTGAGGATGCTGCCTTATAAGGGTGCTGTCTATGTAGTTTGTCACTGGTTTTGGCACAGAGCCGGTTCTTCTAACAGAGTTTCAACCAAGACAAGCAGAAAACCAAACACACGTGTCCTGGCACACGAGGGTTTTGAAGCCGCTCCAAACGCTCTCGTCTATTTAAAGCAGAAGCCCTTGGCTTCACTGCACAGTATTTTAATTAATTTAACTGCTCTGAGTGATTAAACGGCAAGAAGAGGAGATGGAGATTATATTTCACAGTGCAGAACGAACATGACGAGTGTCAAGAAGTTAAACTCAACCTGAACATCCACAAGCCATTTCACTTCCGTCACGTGACGTAATATTTATGAGTGAAACAGAACGTTCAGTGAGGGAGGAACTAAACTACTGCAGGACTTTTCTCACGGGTTAACCAGCTTTAAATGCCTGGTTATCTGTTGAGAAGGCTGAGAAAGGCTGCATTATAATCACACTCAATAGCTGACTGTTGGCTGATGTTAACATTAACCAGCAGAAAACGAAATGTAAGATTATGAGTTCCAATATAAATAAAAAATAAATATATTAAAATATTATTATTAAACAGAATATTCAAATGTTGTATAGTTAAATACAAAATAAAATATTAAAATATAAGAACAATAATTTTAATGTAAAATAACTAAAAAATAACTTAATATTTTTAAGTACTTGTTAAAATAGCGTCGGGGCTGGTAGATGACCTCGGTGGAGTCGATGCGGTGGATGAAGGTGTCCATGAGCTCGTTCTCCGTCAGGTAGTCCAGATGCTGGAGCTCTCCACCTAAACTCATCTTTCCAGGCCTCTCGCTCTCCCTCCGCCGATCCCGCGCTCTGTCACTGGGAATATTTGTTTTCCGAAGCAACGGAGGAGCAGTTGAGATTGGGAAGATCAGTCAGTAGAACGCCGGTTAAACCGCAGCAGAAGCATCGCTCAGTGAAACGAACAGATCCGAACAATCACCAGAAACAAACCGCGTCTCAACGAGTCTTTGAGAATCCGCTGCTGGCGTTGAGGCTTTATCAGCTGACGCTGGGAATCACTGGAGCTCTGCACATCTCTGCAGAAACACGCAAAAACAAACACGCAAACCTCGCATCCTTTCGCTCTCTTTGGTGAGGATTACTTTGACTTCTGCATTACTGGAAATCCATGACCAAGATCCAACATACCTACGAGAAACGAGACGCAAGATTAATCAAAGAGCCTGCTTATGAAGTGGCATAACAACAGGCCTCATTATGTTCATGCATGCGCTCATATGTCATATAAAACGCTGCAGGATCTTTTCACTTCTCTTTATCATGTCTGAAGTCTCACTGTGTTTGAATCAGACGCAGTTTGGGGGATTTTTAGTGGATGTAAGTCAGAACAACTGCTATGAAATCATTACAAAATGTAACACATATTTCTCCCAGTGACATATTTCAAGTTGGATATATATAGTACACACAATGTTATCCTCATACATGCAATACACTCAATATAAAGCAATATATACTGTAGTATACAGCAAATCTCAACCGCTTGACTGTTTATATCGTCACAAATGTAACTACTATTGTCCAGCTCTAATCTGATCAATGCAATTATAAGGCATTACTACATTTTTAAAAACATTCAAATCATAAGTTTCTGTTTTTTTTTAATTAAAATACATAAAACTGATATTATAGCAAACATGCATGAAACAGATTCACAAAAAAGTTATAATAATTGCACGGAAAGATTAAAGTAAATAAATAGAGAGAGAAAATATGTAAATATATATATATGCACAAAAATAAATTATTTACAAACAGACAGAAAACACACCCAACTCTCACCCAAACAACTGTGCAATCCAATAGTTAAAGCAGAAAAAATGAAGACATAAAAAGCATTAACCATCACCAGTTTGAAGAAAATAAATAAAAGGGAACCAAATGTTGTCAAATAACAAACATTTGTCCTTTTAGATGCACCCAGTTCTTTCTAAGAAAGACGAACACTAAGACAGTGAACACTAGTGGTCGAAGGCCAAGGCCGATATATCGGCCGATATTTGGCATTTTTCAAATATTTTGACGGCACTGAGAACGGCAGCGCCTGAGCACACAGTGCTCACATTCTCCCTCTTGTTCGCCGTCGTCGTTAACAGTTCTGTCTAATATGGATTATCTAATACGTCTGTCTAATAATCCGATAGATCTGTTAAACGAAGGAATTACAATGTATACAAAAATATTATAACGATTGCTTTTATATTAGTGCTGGGCGGTATACCGGTTCATACCGAATACCGGTTTTTATTTTTCTTATGATATGAATTTTTTAAATACCACAATACCGGTGTCGTTTAAATAATGTTCGGAACGCGTTTGAGGGAGGGTCTCTTTTCACTGTTGCACTGTGGTGAGGGAACAGCTGTATGTGTTACTAAGCGTGAACGTTCCGAAACTGAAGCTGTAGAACTAATAGAACGTGATGACAGAAGAACTCATCCACAATATACACCGCCCCCTGCCATCAGCTCCCGCGGCTCACACACACGAGCGCGACTTTAGCACTAGATTTAGCAACTTTCAGACCCTTTTAGCGGCTTTTTCCCATAGAATATATATACTGACAAACCTAGCGACTTTCTTGGATAAACCGTAGCTATGGTTCAGTTGGAAGATTTCTCCAGTGCTGTCCCGCGAACACGAGGTCTGACTTTCCCGGAGAAGTGTCGCCTCTCTCGGCGTCTGTTCTGTGCAGTGAGCGGCAGAGAAGCACCGCAGCCGACTCGTCAATAAATGAGTACAAAACAGCGTTTCCTAGCACCTGTCGCTTAATGACTGTTCGGAATTATAAATATGAGCGTAGTGTGTCTATTAATATAATGCAAAAATTCTATTTTTATATTTTTTGTTACTCAGACGCAGGCAGTGCGCTGCATGAGACAAAAAAGTAATATAGCCAAAACCACCGCATAGCCGCTGAACATGCATCTACTGTAGATGCATATTGATTTTTTCAGACGATGTCGCGATTATAAATGAGAGTGACTCCTGGTTAACGTATTAAAAAGGGGTCGTGTTTCGTCACTATTTACAGTGGAATTTTTCTACAATATTCACTCATCATGACAGTAAAATAGGGCATTCTAAGTCAATATACTGCAGTAGCCTATTTCCTCTCTCAATCAGTAGAAAATGTGGTTTACACCCGGTCATGCATGGGAAAACATTTTTAAATACCGTCATGTACCGTGAAACCGGTATAATTTTGAAAAATACAGTGATATTAATTTTTGCTCATACCGCCCACCACTATTTTATATTATTAGTAATAGAAAGGCAAACATTATAATACTTTCTCGTTTGCCGTCTGCATTCAGGAAATATGCATTTACATAATTTAAACAAATCTTTGAATGACTAATGAACATCTAATTTCAAAAACCTTGCAAGCTTAGTCGAATCTAGTTGTGAGATCTTGTGAAGTGTGCATGTGACCTGCATGATCGCGTGTTCCCTGCGTGACTTCCGGTCCGTGCAAATTGAATGCTTTAAACATTAAATTTGTGATTTCAAATTATGCTGTGCTTTATGCATTTACCCACAGTCATATCCATGTCATTTTCACTGTGTGCTGTATGTGAAATGAGTTTTACCTTGTCTTTATTTGAAAAAAATGTGATTCCCAATGCACACAAACTTCCCCGAATACTGAGTGCTCTGTTGCTTACAGTGTTTACTTCCTTTTTAATTATATTTGTATTAAATATTTATTTATTTGTGAAAAATACTTCGTCATGTAAAGTATAAGAATGTTTAACACATTTATTTTTTAATCAATTTTCAAATGATTTCAAATTTCTTAAATATTAATTAAAATAAATAAACCTTGCAAACTTATTCGAATCCAATTGTGAGATCTTGTGAAGTGTGCATGTGACCTGCATGATCGCATGTTCTCTGCGTGACTTTCGGTCCGTGCAAATTGAATGCTTTAAACATTAAATTTCTGATTTCAAATTATGCTGGGCTTTATGCATTTGCCCACTGTCACATTCATGTGTTTTCACTGTGTGCTGTATGTAAAATGAGTGTTACCCTGGCTTTATTTGAAAAAACATGATTCCCAATGCACACAAACTTCCCAGAATACTGAGTGCTCTGTTGGTTACGGACTAGTTTATTTCCTATTTAATTATATTTTTATTAAATGTATTTGTTTGTGGAAAAGACTTTGTCATCTAAAGTATAAATGTTTATTTTACAATAATATATTAATCCATTTTCAAATGATTTCAAATTTCTTAAATATTAATGAAAATAAATACAATTATATCGGCCACCCTGCTTTCCAAGATATCGGCATCGGCTGTCAAACCAGTATCGGTCGACCACTAGTGAACACTATGCAGTGTTATTTTACACTTATTACGTTTCTGTACCTGAATACTTGAGGTATTGATCCCTCAGCAGGATCAACGCACGCAAAGCTCCGGGTCCTGACAACATTCCTGGGCGTGTACTGAGAGACTGTGCAG